TGGTAGTGGTAGTAGTAGCAGCAGCCTTCACCCTAAGCCGTGGTAGGATGAGGAGGGGCTGCTGCAGCAATGCTGTTGTTGCGTTCGCTAAATCTCGAACAGCGGCGATCTGTTTCAAAGTTAAAGCTTTCCATCGAGACCGACTCTTGGAGTCAGCTCCTGGACTGGCCAGTGGCACCTCAGATGCCCCTGCCCATGTGGTTCCTGGCTGCCCGTGCTGAAGGATGTCATATGACAAGGCAAGGAAGTAGACTGCCCACGATAATGACAATCATAAGCCATGCAGATATCAACATTTGGGGAGCCTTGCTGCGATTTAAAACTCTTCTGTACAGTTAGCCGCTAGCTTCAGGAGGCTGAACCTTTGCCCGCGTAGCATCGTCGCACTGGTCGTGTGAGTTTCTTACAGAATGGTTTAGGGTTTAGAGTTTAGGGTTTAGGGCTTAGGGTTTAGGGAAGATGCTGTGCGATGACTTCCGCTCAGACGAGTGCTGCCTAGATTCTCGGCAGGCTCACCTGTCTACAGCAGTCTACAGCTCTGTGGGCTCTTGCAGGAAATGCACCGTGTCAGTCTCCAGGGTCAACGGAGGACCCATACCCTTACGTTGTAGCCGGAGTGCCGGGCGACGTTGGCTCTTGGTCCTGCGGTCCAACACCGGCGACTGAGAAACAATGACCGAGTTCGCATCGTTTGCTGGTTGAGTCCAGTTGATACTACGACATTTTTTGCCACGACTGCTTATACTCTCTGAGTTGGTCTCACATCTTGCGTTTAAGGTTTATCTTGCAAACCGCACTGCAGTTAAGAAACACCGCCAAACTGTTCCATGAACATACAACACCACATTGTCGCTAACATCGCTAACAATGCAACACCACAAAGCTTTGACAACGCACAAAATTTCTTCAAGTGCATTCCAGTTGGCGCAGCCAAAGCCGCAGGTTCTGGCTCCGAAGCCTTCCACTTGAGTGGAACCAGCTTGAACATTCGAGAGGCGCCGTCTGGATCCAGGGTCACCTCGCAGCATCTCGCATCCGAAAACTAAAGCTCATGAACATCAGGTCTAGAGTGCATGCCCGTGCCAGCGCAGGAGTCCCAAATGGAGTGCCTGCATAAACCGAGCATACTGCCGAATTCCAGCCTGAATCGACTTTCGGACGCCCAACTCTTCCTTACTCCACATGTCTCTCACCGACGCGTCTTCGAAGAAGTCGCAACTCTTGCTGCTCGGGCTTGACCAACAAACATCATAGACCTTGAAGTCGACTTTCGCAGGCTGAAATCTATCCAGATTCAGCAGGACCTGAGCTTTGGAAAAATCTCGTGCCTTTGCGCTGGGGAAATTTCGCGGGTAGCGCAGTCGCTCAGGCATGGTGGAAACCTGCCCTTTAGTGTACAGTAGGGGGTGGTCGGTCGGATCAGATAAGCATTAGAATGTCTCTCGCCATGAATGTGGACGAAGCAGGATATCTTCGCTTCTCGTATATTGACAGATGTATGTGAAAATGAGTCAGGGTATGTCATGGCAGCAAGGGTGCTGTTGAGAAACCAAAACAGTGCTGTTGAGAAACCACAGCCTTCATAACCAAAAAGAAACGTCACATCTTATTGATCAGGGAACTAGGGCAAATCCATCTCGAATGGGTTTGGCCCAAGCCTGCTGGCAATACGGTATCTCGTCATAATACTGATTCTGATGAACATCTGCACGCTTGCGCAAGGGACAGTTTTCCCAGACGATCTGGCCCTGAATGCCCAAAGGATCCTGGTCAACGGCGATCACTTCAGCATTGGTGTAGGTTTCCAGATCATGGGAGCTCATCGACAACATACTTGATCCCAGCAATAGGGGAGCGGCCATCACGGACCACAAAGAGAACTGTGTCCGTGATTGCTGTGGGGTCATTCTCACGGCAGCTCCAGGTGATGAGCCCACCAACATATCAGGATCGTTCCATCCCCCAGGACCTCCGTGCTCCGACAAGAAAGCATTCACACGGATCGCATAGTTCCATGCACTCCGCCAGTCACGGACATCGTAGCCAATCCTCCATGAGTTGGCCAAGCTCTTGCCATAGGGACTATACCAGTTGTGCCAGCCCGAGAGGGCCAAGAAGACCTTCCGCCCAGTCTTGTTCAAGGCATCGCGGAAAAGCTCATACTGGGCGATTGCTTCGGGTGATGGTGGGTCCTCAAGAGAGTCGGGACCGAAGCAGGAGTCCGTCTTCACATAATCCACACCCCAGGACGCGAAGGTCTGAGCATCGGTGACTTCATAACCCGAACCTCCGGGACGACCGGCACAGGTCCAACGACCCCGATCCGTGTAAATGCCAAACTTCAAGCCTTTTCCATGGACGTAGTCTGCAACATTCTTCATGCCATGTGGAAATGCTTTTTCATAAGGCACCAGTATCCCATCTTCTCCTCGCCGATGTGCCCAGCAGTCATCGATCACCAAATATTCATATCCCAAAGCAGGTAATCCTAGGTCCACCATCTTATCAGCTACCTTGGTGATATTCTCTTCTGAGACACCTTCACATTCGAAGTCGTTCCAGGTGTTGTAGCCCATCTGCGGGGTGTTTCCCAGACCATTGTCCAGTCCATGAACTGAGAAGAACACCCCGGACAAGCTTGCAAGGAGTCTCATTATGGAGCGGTTCAGTTGCTGACTACCATTTGCTGAAAAGCCCGAGACAATGGTCGATTAAGCAGTATCACAGAAGAGACTCACCTCAAGGTGCTACTTTATGAGACCTGTCACTAGACGTCAAAGATGAGTGTGTCCCGTCGACCAAGAAGAGTAGAGCATGTTCTTCGCGCCGTTCACCACGTCTTCATCTATCGTCTATCGTATATGTCCACCCATCCGACAAAGTCTGTTCAGTCTCACAAACGAACGACGGACAATCCAGGAGAAACAGAAAGCAGACCGGCAACGACATCGGCAGCAACTGACGGCGACAGCGACAGCGACGACGACTCAGATCGGCCCTTTTCCGAACGGACCATCTTGGAGCGTGTCTGTCTGCCCAGTTGCAAAGTGATGCGGGAGCTGTTCAATTCAGTCAGGTCCTCTGGAGTCCTAAAGCAAAGTTGAAAACTAAAACAACTAACCAAGTCTTGGTAACAGAATGCGACAGCTGAACAACTCCCTTGTAGTTGCGCGGTGACATACGGTGACATTCTGGCTCGCCGCAGGCTGGGCGAAGGAGAAGACTCAGATTAACTCTCAGTGGGCCGAGGCTCGCCAGCTCATGCTACTTGCTGCCGTTTAGGGCTGAGGGTGAAGGATTTCGAGCTTAAAGCTGAATAGGGTTTAGGGATTAGGAACGGATCGGTTGACGTAGGTTTGAGGCTGCTGCACCTTCTTTACAAGTCCTCTCCACCTCTTGAACTACAACACGGGAGATCCAGAGTGGATGGCCAAGCTCACTAGCTGCAAGCAGTCTGAGCCTGACGATGGGATCAATTTGAGAGGGTGGGCTGAAGATAGAAGTTCAGAAGTGCATCTTTCTTGAAGTCAGGCTTGGAAACTCTTGCTTCTGGGTCTCGTTGCGCATAAGCTGCTGGTGCGGCGTGATTTGCAGCTCCGGAGATCCGGAGATTGATGTTGCTGGATGTAGCGCAATGAAAAGGATAGGCAAAATGGCATTCGAAACCCTTAAACCATAAACCCTGCATGAAAAAAAACACGCAGCCATGCTCTGAACAAGCCGAGTCTGCGGCCCCGGTTGCCTCCTTGAGAAGGGGCCGGCAAGCTGAGCAGGCCCTAGGTCTCTACGTAGGATGTCTTCTACGACTATCTTCGAAATATGATAAGACATCGCATAACATGACATAGCATAACAAAACATGTAATAAAACATAACATAAAACAATATGATATGATATTATGCTATATAATACAATATGACAAAGATTAATTTAATATGATATGATACGATATGATGTAAGATGACAAGATAAAATACAATATGTTCGAATACAATAATATATGATAACGTAATGTTATGAGCAAAGTTCAATATAGTATGCTATGAAGAAAATGATATGATATAATGTCATATCATATCATATGTTACATTGATATATAGTATGATATATTATTTTGTTAGAAAATGTAATGCTACATAGTACAATAGAATATAACCTAATGTAATGAAATATAATGATATGATGTTGCTCTAGGATCAGAAAATGCAATATGATGTACTATGATATACTATGGTAACATACGAGAGTTTTAAAAAAAAACGAGAGAATGTGATACAGTTAAGCAGCAGTGTTGCATGCAAACTTTTGCTTCGCTGTTAATGGGTCAACCAGTCAAGATTGACTGTTGCAGGGATGTGTCTGCAGAGCATCCCTGCTGGTGTCAAGCAGTTCAGCCCGCGAAATGCCTGCACTTCAGGATCCAAATCCCTCCTCACCGATCCCAATGCGCGATGAACCTGAGAGAAAGCCTTGAGTCGGCTACAGATGGCAGCTGGCCCAAACGGCCTGAAGCTCCTAAGTCCTGTCCTCTTAGTCGTCGTCCGCAGTCAGCTCCACCCCCCCTTCTGTGCCGGGCACCTCCAGCCTGGGCACTCGCGCTTTGGTGCACACCAAGAGATTTCGGGCGGGGCTTGGTAGGAGCCTGAAGGCGAGGAAAGTCCAAAGGCTCCGATCAGTCCGAAGGGCACAGAGAGAGCGCCACTTTGACCGAAAGCAAAACCTTGTAAGACAGTACGAATCCGACGAGCCTACACCTCAGCCTTCCTAAGGCGATCACCCAGCCAACGCGATGTACTCACGCAGCCTCAGCGTTGCAAAAAGGAAGGCATTTCCGGAAGTACATGTGGATGTGCAAGGATTTTATTCTGCAGGATTTTAACAACTGGCAGAAGGCTACGTCGTGTGCTGTGGTCAGCTTCAGCACTCTCGTCAAACTTTTCGCTCCCGATGCTACATGTTCTACCCAGAGGCCGCCCACATGTAGCAAGGAAGATCAGCGACAAAGAATCCGGGCCCTTGGCATCTTGACCTCGTCCGTCCTCTTCTTGACGATGGCCTGCAGAGTCACTGACGGCGGCTGAAACATCGATGTAAGGCACCCGAACCTCTGCGTTGCATGCAAATTTCACTGTCAGATACATCTTGGCAAAAAGGATCAAAAAGGCACGATGCCGTAAGCCAAAAGAACCGACCATCATGCCCACCTGACCTGAAATTTAAAGTCAGCCAGAGATCCAACATGCTGATCCCTACCACACCTTCGGATACGAGTGGTGGAGTCTCCAGCACCGATCAGACACTCCCCGTGGCCTTAAGGTCTCGAAACTGCGTCGTGGAACCCAGGTGCTGGCGCGAGAGCTTCGATGTTAGGGTTGCTACAGGTGCAGCATCATTATGATTATGCTATATTTGGATGATGTCGGTGATGATTATTTAATATTTCTCCGATACTCGATTATGACTGCATTTTCACATATTGAGTCAGGGTGTAGGGTCCATGTTTCAAGGTCATGGGGCCAACCAGCTCAATCAAGAAGCCCTTGGACGCGTCTTTGAGAGCCGAATAAGTTTCTTACCCTTGAGCACTAGATAGTTCTAGGGTGGTGGCAGCGGAGATGCAATCCTTTGGAGGAGAAAAGGCATAGACACTGGACTGTGACACGACTTTCTCTGCATCTCTGTTTGCATTGTACTGGTAATTTATAAAAGAAAATCGACAAATACGCCTGAAAGCCTGAGGCTCGATTGACTGTTCAGCAGAGGTTTCCCCCCCGAATCCTAAAAACCCTAAACACTAAACCTGAAACCCTGAACCCTGCAACCGTGAACCCCCCACACCCCCGCGGCCGCTCAGACCTCGGTAAGCTGATTCTGAGAGAGGGCCACCTGGGCCCCGGCCTGGTGGGTAGGAGACGCGGGTGAGGGTATGAATGCATCATGCTACCTTGTCTTAGAGTCAAACCGGATATGCACGCATAAATATATACATGTACATATGTGTGTATATATATATACACATATACATATACATATCCATATAAATATAAACACACACATATATATATATATATATACACAACATACACATGGTACGGCCACCCCCGAGGATCCACCATTCTGTTCCCTGTCAGGTCCGCAAAATCGACAACATCACTTTACAGATTTACTTCCAGGGACGTGGAATGGGATTTAAGGTTTGGAAGTTGAAGGCCTTTTTCGAGAAATTCTTAAATGCTGCCGGAAAGAAGCAAGACCCAATGCAAGCGGTTTGCCACCATTACAAAGTATATATTCAGAGGTCCCTCTTCAGGCTGCCTTGGACAAAGAAAACATCCCGTTCCGGTCAAGCAACATTGGAAAGCAATTCAGCACCGGCCGCCACTTCTTGCGGGAGGTTCGTCCTACACTTGCCGGCATCTCCGGGACCACCGCCCACTATGATCAGGCAGTTCAGGAAGCAGGACCATGTGTCAAACGCCGTAAGTCAGTGAAGTCCAGCTACTCGCTGCTAGGCCGAGGTTCTGAACAAGATACTGCCAAACTTGAATCTGAACCTTAATGGCTGAGTGAGTACACTTTTAACTTTTTGGGCAAACATGATCCCTTATAGAACTGAAAGTGTACACTTTGTTGTGCTTATGAACTCAGCAGCCAGGAACGGGATGCTGCCAAACCCGAGGCCGCGGAGAAGGAGAAACCCACCGTCCTCATCAAGCACGAGCAGGTAAAAGTCAAGACGAAGTTTGCTGCCTTCAGGAAGGACCTGGACAACCGGACGTTGCAGGTTACCATCTAAGGCGAAATCCAAGTACAAGCTGCCGCAGTTCTTCTCTTCGTCCGGCTGGAGTTTCGCTTTCCACCATCCATCTGCTCACCAACATCAACGACAAAGCAGCCGAGATAATGGACTGCAATCTCAACCTCGTCCGCAGCGGTCATGTCACAAAGATTGAGAAGAGCATCAAATTCGGTGGGGCTCCCAAACCATGGCAAGACGTTGCGACAAGCGGACCCTCAAGCCTTGGAAGCAATCGGACGAGGACGCCAAGCAAGGGAAGAACGCGGTACTGGTATGGGAACAATGGGGATGCATGGTGCAGTGTGACAATCCGCAAAGTTTGTTGCCGTTCGAGCTTCGTCTTGCCATCACGGTGCCGCGAGTACCGAGACCGGGTGCGATTCGCAAGGTATAGATCGGACTCCTGTTGCCCAGAAGTGGTTGAAAACAGGCCTGACATCTTGCACTCGGATTCGGCCTGGTCATACCGCAGCAAGGTGGAGGGCATGCTTCACGATGCCGTGGTTCACAAAAAGCGCCGGGTCAAGAGAGGCAAGAAGCGGGTATGGGTCAAGCCTGTGCACATCAATATGTTCACCCAAAAGACGGCACGGTCAGCAAGACTAATGACTAAGGGTGGGACCCAAATCATTGATCGGGCTTGGCGCTTCATAAAGGAGCATCTCCGCTTCAATCAGCATGGTAAGGCCTCCTTCAAACAGGCCGCGCAGATCCGCATTGCCTAATGCGGGTTTTGGCAGCGCAGCGAGGACTTGTGGGTATTTGCAGGTCAGATTTTGGAGGAGTGCATGCGGAACATCGTCGCCAAGCCCGGGTGCTAAACATTCGTCATCAATGCTGGCTGCTAGGGCCCA